GGAGCCCTAGAACAGTCAGCGCCAGAGGGGCGCCAAGGCAAGGGACTGGGGCAGGCTCTGCGGATGGCTCTCGGGCTGTGCATCAGGGCCCCCTGAGGGCTTTGGGAAGAATGCTCGGTGCGCTCCAGGTGAACGGGTCTCTGCGTGGGGCCAGGCACGGGGCAGAGTGGAACTGCCAGGGGCTTCTACACCGACCTTCACGGAGGAGCACTGGGTTGGACCGTGAGAGGCGCTGGGGTACTTTAGGGGGCAAGAGGAGGGGTCACATGTGTGCTCTGGGAAAATCTCCCAGGGTTGTCACAGAGCAAAGGGGAGCTGGCCAAGAGGCCTCAAGCAGGAGAAGACACTCACTCAGACAGGCTTTGGGTGGGGGCTCTGCTTGTGGGCCATACAGAGTGACCGTGAGGGGGAGGTGGGGGGGGGAGGAGGAGTAGGGAGTGGGTGGGGCCAGAGAGGGGCTCCTGAGATGCAAACGTGACGGTTGGGAGAAAGTGCGGGGCCTCCTGGGCAAGTAGATCTTCTCACCTCTGCCCTCTGGCCTTAACCCCACCTGACAGGCCCCACCAGCAATGGTCTCCAAAAGGTGGACGTGCAGCTGGTCCCACAGGACCTGTGCAGCGAGGCCTATCACTATCAGGTGACACCCCGCATGCTGTGTGCCGGCTACCACAAGGGCAAGAAGGACGCCTGCCAGGTGACTCCCGTGGGGCTGGGCTGGAGTGGGGAGAGGGCGACGTTCCTCGTGCCCAGCCATCTGCTCACATCAGCTTGCTGAAGCTTCTTGGACTCCCAGCAAGGCGAGGGGATGGCTGTGTCGCTTTACAGGAGGTTGAGGGACATGCCCCTGGTTGCACATGGGGAGGGACCTGTGGTGGGCAGGTGGCTCTGAGGCTCAGAGCCGGTTCTGCTCCTTGCCTACCTCAAGGCCGTTTGCCCGAGCTGACAGAGTAGAGGGCTAGAAAGAGCCTACAGGAGGAGGCAGAGGGGGACGGGGGGTGGGCACAGGTCCAGGACGGTGGGAACACGCTGGGGGCCAGGCCAAGGCACGAGGGGAGCCGAGCATCAAGAGGCGCTGTGCCTTTCCCGCTGCCACTTAGAGACGCCCAGCAGTCAGGGCCCTCTCCTGGAGGCGGGGCGCCCTAACCCTGATACAGCCCTCCCTCCTTCCCCCCCTTTCAGGGAGACTCCGGAGGCCCGCTGGTGTGCAGGGAGCCCAGTGGCCGCTGGTTCCTGGCAGGACTCGTCAGCTGGGGCCTGGGCTGCGGCCGGCCCAACTACTTTGGCGTCTACACCCGCATCACAGGTGTGATTGGCTGGATCCAGCAGGTGCTGACCTGAGGAGCTGCCTCCGTGGAGCCGAGGCCCACCTCCTGGATGCAGAGAGCCCAGGGCACCCACTGGGTGGGGGAGCAAGCGTTCTGGGGTGGCGGGACCCTGTGAAAAAAGCAGGTGGCATCCAGTCCCTGAGCCTGCTCCCTGACATTGACTCAGAAAGGGCACGAGGAAGGAAGAGGGCCCTCAGCTGGTGGTTAAGGCTTTCCTGGAGTGGCCGGCATGGTCGCCAGGCCTGGTTGGTGGGGTCACATCCAGCCCATCACCTCCCAATTCTCTCCTCCTGCCCCATCCTCCCCTGCTGACTTTGGGGGGAAATTGTTCAGCAGTGTGGATGCAGCTGCCACGTCCCAGCAGGAATGTCTGAACCCCGACCCCACCCCACCCCCAGTGCAGAGGCTGCATGGGCAGCACCCGTGCCAGAGATCAGATTCCAGCCTTTGAAGCCCCTGGCCTGCCTTGAGAGGTGGGGGTGGGAGGTGCCCCCAAGGAGGGGTCCTCAGCATCCTGGAGACAGCCAAGCGGGCCAGGGGCCCCTGTGAGCCAAAGGGTTGGGGAGCTGGGGCCCAAGGTCTCCACACCCCTGCCTGCCCCTGGGCCTCCGGTGCCCACTCACCTGGAGGTGAGCTCAGCTGACCCGGAATAAAACCGTCTGATCTGAGGCCCTGTTTGGAGATTGAATGGGGCGTAGGCACCAACCTCATACCCTTCACTGAGCAGACTCTGCTTCCTGCTCAGCCTGTTTGCCAACTGTCTAGAAGCCAAAGAGAGGTCAGCAGAGTCAGGGTTGGCCTCTGCGACAGCAGCGCATGTCCCAGGAGCAACCCCAGGAAGGCAGCAGTTGGTGATCCTCAGGTCAGAGAGAGGAATGGGACAAGTGATGGACTCCTGAGTCCTTTGGGGGAAACCGAGGCTCAGAGAGGGCCAGAGACGTCCTCGTGATCGCACCAGGGGTTGGGAGTGGAGCCTGGTGTGGAAGCCCTACCCCATTTCCTGGTCCCCACCCCCACCCCCAGCCGACACTCCCTCTGAGCCTGCAGCTCGCAGGTTCCCACCAGGTGTCTGCTGGGGCCACAGGCGTTCACAGAGCCCGGCTCCTGCTCTGTGGCGTGGGAGTGGGGGGGGCGGGTTGCCGCTCCAGCACAAAGGCTTTCGGGTGGCCTCAGACCCAGGCAGTCAGGGAAGGCTGCCTGGAGATGAGGTTCATGGTCAAGGGGGTAAGGGCATTGTGAGCAGTATGTGCAAAGGTAGCGTGTCCCACAGGAACATGGCACGTTAGGGGACAGCAAGCTGTTTTAGTTACACAGAGGTTGAGTGGGGGAGGGCCACAGAGAAATTGCAGGGGTGGGGGGCAAACTGAGACCAGATTATAAAGAGCCGGGAGCTGAGCGAAGGACTTGACCTGGATGCTCTGGGGGAGCCATGGAAGGCTCTGGAGCAAGGCAGTGGCAGCCCTGTGGAGGGAGTGGGGGGCCTGGACTGCGTGGGGTGGTGGGGACAGGCATAGGGTTGAAGTGCCTCTGTGGATGGGGTAGGTGAAGGAGCCACCCAGAACCTCTCCTGGTGGGGGCTGGCCTGAGCAGTTGGCCGGGGCAGCGGGCGGGCAAGGCTGTGGGAAGGTGGACAGGTGTGGACAGGTGTCATGAACGAGGCAGAGACACTGAGCACAGTAGGAGGCTGAGGACATGGCCAGAGGCTGGAGGGAAACTGAGCAGCAGCGTCTTAGTACCAAGGCCACAGGGCAGTGGGGGAGCTCAGAGAGGGCCCGGGGGCCAGGCCTGGGTCACTAGCACCTCCTGGGTGCAGTGGGGGTGGGGTGGGGGGGGGGGTGTCAGTGCGGATGAGCCTAGCTGGGGGAAGGGGAGCCGCAGAGGAGATCTGGACTTCAGGGGGTTTCGAAGACAGGGAGCTGCTACCTGTCCATGGTCACACCTGTCCACAGGTGAGTGGGCAGAGGTGGCAAGCCCTGTCTGTGGGAGGGAGGGGACAGCAGGCGGAGCCAACGCTGTGTGGGGACCCTCTGGGGCAGGATGGTAAAGCATCCCTACCTAGGTAGGCTCACTGGGTAGAGCACTGTGGGAGCTGTGCTAGAATGCAAATCATGGGCCTACCGAGGCTTAGTAAGAATTTGGGGAGGGGAGCTGGCCATCTGTCTTTAACAAGCTCCTGGCGAGTCTTTCACAGCCAAGTCAGACACAGAAAGCGAGGCCAGCTTCATAAACACAGCGTCCTGAGGGGAGGAGAGGACCTGGCCCAAGGGGGGCCTCGGCCTGGGGTCACGGTTTCGCAGGGCTGTGCCCCAGCCACATTGAGCTTAGCAAGGTGGACACCGCAGGGCTAGGGAGGAGGCAGAGGGCCAGGGTGGGTGGGTCCCTAGGTGTTTATTTCTTGGGATTGAGGACAGAAGGCAGAGCCACAGGGAGGAGGAGTGGTCCTGGCAGGAAGTGGGAGTGCCTTAGGGCATTAGGATGAGTAGGGGTGGCCGCAGGGAGCAAGCAGAGGGCTGCCTGGACGGTGGGGTGAGGCTGGAAAGGGGGACAGCATGCCAGGCTTGAGAGGACCTGGTTTCTCAGAGCCCACCCCCTCCTCGGCAACCCCAGCTGGTCTAGGGCTGCCTGGAGGGAGGGGGAGACCCCCGTGACTCTAGGGGCAGGGCCTTGGAAGTCATCTGGTCCAACCCCTGGTTGTATAGATGAGGAAACTGAGGCCGAGAGGGGTGGGCACCAGCCAGCCAAAGCGGATGCCCACGGTGTCTGAGCAGAGGGTCCAGCCTTGAACCCAACCCCACCTCACCCCACCCCACAGTGGAGTGATGGCAGGGTGTGGTCCCTGGGCCTCGGACAAAAGCCCCATTACTTTTGGGTCACTTACCCAGCCTTGAGTTTAGCCCCTGTTCCCAACAGGGACCCAGAGAAAGAGAGCGAGGCGGGCAGGCCAGCTGTTTCTTCAGCTTTTATTACACGGTGGGGCCAGACACGGCAGAGCACTACCCAGCCAGGCAGTCACCCGTGCGGGCAGGCGGGCCCCTGAATGGAGGAGGCAGTGTCCCCCCTCCCCCGTATCACCGGTTCCTGAGCAGCCCCACCGCCCCTGCTGAGCCACTGCCTGCCAGCTCTGGGCCAGGGCCCTCTGTCCCCAGCAGTACAGATGGGGGTGGGAGGAGTCCAGGTGATGGCCACGTCACCGCACCCCCTCGGACAGGGCCAACACACCTGCTTCATCCCCACCAATATGGGAACTTCATCTGGGGCTGAGCTGGCCCTTCCCCTGAGGGAAGGGTGAAGAAGCCCCACCTGGGGAAGGCTTACTCTCTGAAGGAGGACTTCTGGGGAACCTTCTCCCCTTGGATGTGACCTCACAACAGCCCTGTGAGGTAGGCGGGGGTGGGGGGAAGAGAGAACCCACTCGATAGGGAGACTAAGTTCAAGGAGGCGACGTGACTGGGCCAGGAGGGACTGTTTCCACCATGCAGCTGGGGGCTTCGGGAGAGGGGACACAGGGGCTTGGGAGACACAGCTGGACAGCGCCACACTTTGGCTGCTGGCAGGCGGCTGTGCCAAGGGGCCCCAGGGCCCACCAGGGAGGCAGGGGGCGGCCACAGCCCTGCAGGTGCAGACAGAGGCGGCCACAGGAAGGGCGCTTCCTCCACCCTGAGCTGGGGGCCCACCCCACGGTACAAAAATAAAGGACGTCAGATCGGAACCCCAAGTCCCTGGAGGTGATCTGGGACCTCACATCCGGGTGCCTCTGGCCTGTAACAGCTAGAAAATAAGAGAGAAAGGGGCAGGGGGACAGGTGGGGGGTGGTCCGGACACCGGGAAGGGGGTGAGGGGTGGAGCCGGTGGGGGAGGACAGGGCGATGCAGGGCCAGGGGAAGGAGGAGAGGAGGTTGAAATGGAGGGAGGGGGTGGGGGAGAGAGGGAGAGAGAGAGAGGTAGGTGAGTCACAGAGTCCCTTCTGGGAGGAGAGAGGGGAGCTGAGGCCCAGAGAAGGTGGATTCAGAGCCCAGAAGGAGGGTGAGCAGGAAGGGGACCCAGCTCGCCTATTTGGGGTCCCCAGGCCCCATCCTGGGCTGGCGGTGGCTGCCTGGGAGGCCAGATACTGCCAAGACTGGCCAGGGGGGTCAAGGCCAAGAGGCAGGTCACAGTGAGCAGCTATCTGTCCCCACTTTAGAGGCAGCTAACATTGTAGAGGGACAGAGACTTGCCCCTCTGGGCTTCTGGGCACCTGAGCAGGGCTTTCGTCTGCCACGCCCCAACCCACAGCCAGCGGGGCTGATTCCAGTCCTTCCCACCCCTGCAGACAGGGAACCCGGCGCCTCGAGGCTGCAAGGCAGGCGCTCCCACGTGCAGGGTGGAGGCTGAGGCACCTGGCTTGTTCCCCTTCCCAGCCTGCTCTGGCGCAGATGAGCAGATGGCACCGTGTCCACCCCTAACTCACTCCTCCTCTCAGAGCCTCATAACCCAGGGCCAGGATAGGCCGGCCAAGAAACTTGGGTGAGAGGCGAAAATCAGCCGCAAGTTCAGCCCAAGTCCGAGGAACAAGAGACGAGCACCCTCCTGGCTTCCGCCACTCCCTCCAGTGCCGCCAAGCTACAAACCAGGGCTGGCCGCTCTGGGGGGCAGGTGAGGGGCTGAGGAGAGGCCCTTACTGCCAGCGCAGCCTCAGGTCTGAGGGGTGCGGACAGGAACCTGCAAGGAGGAAATGTGAGCAGGAGGCGAGGAGGTGAGGTGCTGGGGCAGGCGGCCCAGTCTCAGAGGTGCCCGGTGGGCTGGGCAGGCGCGGAGGAGGTGCAGCGGCACGCCTGCTCCCCAGGCCAGGATGCGGGAGCTGCCAGAAGGGGTGCGGGAGGCGGCAGGCAGGGTGCCCTGAGATGCGAGGCCGGGGCGCCTGGGACCAGGGCAGCCCCGGGATGGAGGCGTGAGCAGGCAGAGAGAAAGCCCGGACAGGGGCAGAGAGGGAAGAGGCAGGGTGCAGATGAGATCCAGGAAGAAGAAGAGGTGGATGAAGATGAGGCAGGACCTCCAGCGGGAAGCGGAGGAGGAGGAGGCGGTGGTGGGAGGGAGAAAAGGTTAGCGGGATCCTGAGATGACTGGGCTGCAAAAAGAAAGTGAGAGAAGGGATGGTTATGCAGGTGAGGCACCAGGCGGGCAGCTGAGCTAACCCTGGTGGCCCGCCCCCCAGCGGCCCCCGGCCCCCCGGGCTCTGTGGCTGGGCTGGCTCCGGCAGGGAGCGGGTGGGAGGCTCCGGCTTGGATTAGCAATCATTCTCCTCGGGGGTTGGCTGCACCTTTCTCCTGTGTATCTGCCTCCACCTGCACCTGTTCCACCTCCACCTCCTCCTCCTGCTGCTGCTCTTCCTCCAGCTGCTCCTCCGCGCTCTGTGAACCAGCCGGCGGACCCAGGGAAGAAAGAGTGCAGAACTAACGAGGGGGCCTGTGGGCGCTGTCCCCAAGGGCCCCAGCTCAGGGCAGGCGGCGGGCTAGATGAAGGGGGGCCTCCAGGAGAGTGGGGGACTACAGCCAGAGAGGCTGGGGCATCTTGTCCAGTCCCCTGGGAAGGGCAGGAGAAACCAGCGAGGACGGGCCCCACTGGGTGCTCTCCAGTCAGGCTGGCTGCCATTACCTGGAGCAGACTGAGTGCAGGCAGGAAGAGGACTGGGGCGGGCGTGCAGCTGGGGTGTCCTTGAGGGGCACTTGGGAAGGCCTTATTTCAGGAGGGCTGCCCCAGAGGGGAGATGAGGCCAGGGAAGGCCCAGGGCAGACATCACCCAGGCCTGGGATGCCAGCCACAGGCCCTGGCAGCCCAGGTCCCAAAGGCAGAAGCAGAAGGCTCGCTCTGCACCCCTGCGAGGCAGGGCCAGCCACTGGCCCTTACTGGGGTGGGGGTGGGCAAAGGGACACACAGGACAGGGAATGCAGGCAGACAGACAGGAAGCCAGAGTCCTTATGTCTCCGATGCATGCGGACAGGCCCCGGAAGGAAGGGTCTCCTTCCCTCCCAGCCTGTAGCAGGCCCTTGAGGCTTCCGACCAGCTGCGGGTCCGGGTGGCAGGACCTCAGTTCCTCACAGCCAGCCGAGGCCACCTCAGAGGCCAGGGTGGACACACAGGGCTGGGCCCCAGAGGGCTCCTGACTCCTCTCCAGAAGAGGGGTCCTGGGAACGGGGCAGCACTAACCGATTTGGCATCCCCACCCGGACCCGGGTCAGCCGGACACTGACCTACCCCTGGGAATAAACTGGCCAGGAGTCCCAAGCTTGACGGCCTGCAGAGAGGACGTGGTCTACCTCCCTCAGTTCTCAGCACAGCAAAGGTGCCAAGGGGTCGGGGCTTGTCTGGGGTCACTCAGAGCGAGGCCCACCATGCCCAGAGACCCCTACTTCGGGGCACTCCCCCTCATGCCATGCTGCCCCCTGGCCACCATTCGAGTGGCATCTAAGTCACACTTGCCTCGCCCTTGGGATGGTCCCATCTCACTGCTCCCCCAGCCTGGGCCTGGGTGACCAGCGTGAGCAGACAGGACCACGGGTGGCATGGGATGGATGGCACTGGCTGTGACTGGGGTTGTGCGTGTGCAGCGGGAGGGAGAGAGAGAGCAGGGACGGCTGCGAGGAGGGGTGGGGAGGGAGGAAAGCAGGCAGGCGGGGCAGGGGGCTCACCTTGGTTTTGCGGCTGGACTCGGAGCTCAGCCCGTGGGGGGCGCTGTGGAGCTCCTTGGACACCACGCACAGGAACTCCGCCTGGTCCTCACTGCCATAGTTGTAGGAGGAGCCGATGTTCACCAGCTAGAGGGGTGGCACGTGAGGGGCAGAAAAGGATGACAGGTCTGGCTGGGGGGGGAGGAGGGCGTCACACTCATCCTGATGCCAACTTGTGTCCTGGCCTGGCTGTGCTGCTCAGGCACATGCCTGGGTTTCCAGAAAATACCTCTGGGCTGAAGTCCCCTCCCCTCCCCCATCTACACCCCCCAGTGAATTTCTAGACTGGCCTCCCCACCTGGCTGGCTGGGCCTGGTCCCTGGGGGAAGGTCTTCTTGCTGCTCCTCCCCCAGCCCAGGGCCAGCAGGCCACTTCCTCAAAGCAGGAGGAGGCCTGGAACCCGCAGGCTGCCGCCTCCCGTGTCGGATGGGGCGGCCCTAGCACCAGGTTGGCATGGTGGAGCCCAGAGAATATTCTGTTCACTCTTGGAATATTCTACAGTCCTACCCTGGGCCAGGGACTTTATCGGTGGTCCCTCTAATCGAACCCTCTGAAAACCTGAGGCAGGTGGGATGCCTGCTGTATTACTAGGGCCACACGACTCATGATAACCCCCCCGCCATGGGAAACCAGCATCTGGACTGGGAGGAACTAGAGATCCCTAAAAATCCCTCAGGGGGAGTCGCTGATTTGGGCTTTCCTGAACGTGGCAATGCCTGTGACTGGGCCTGTCCCTTGCAGGGGCCCTGGGAGCCACATCGGTGGAACTGTTCCAGGCGGTATTCAACCAGGTGGGCTCTGCCCGCCTGTCTGCATCTCCACTCTTTGCAGGAGCTGTCGCCCGGGGCCCAGGGCCTCACTCACACCGCCATGTGCACGACCACCCAGTTCCTGTGAGCATGGCCTTTCCTAACCCTGTTTACTTAAGACCACCCCTGGGTGGGGGCGGCAGTGGGAAACCCAGTGCTAGGGCTGCAGGAAGGGAGGGGCCTGCTTCGCCTGGAGACTAGGAGGTCCTGAGCATGGTCCCCATGTCCCCGCGTCCCCGGCCCACCTGCTCAAAGCGCCAGCCATCAGACATGGTGGAGACCATCTGGGTGAGCTCCTCCTCCTGGCACTGAAGCACGCGGTACACGTGCTTGGGCGGGACCTGCAGGCAGGGAGGCGATGTGAGGGCGCCCCAAGAGTGGGGTGAGCACCTGCCCCCCAGCTTCTTTACCCCAAACCCCACCTCCTGCTGAAGGAGAGAAGGATGGGAGCTGTGTCCCAAGGGCCAGCTACATGTGGGACACTTCACATTCGTTGTAGGGTTTTCGTGGAGGCTCAGAGAGGGTGAGTTACTTGCCCAAGGTCACCCAGCTAAAGAGAGGCAGGGAGTCAGAACTGAAATACAGGTGATACAAGACAAAAGGGAGGGGCCTGGGGGGCATCCTAGGTCACTGACTACAGCAGGCCCTCCAGGAGACAGGGCCTCCCCACTTTAATCGGGGCCAGGAGATGGTGCCTCACTACCTGTTCCCCACCCTTGCATCTGCCAGGGTAGGCTGGGAATCTCTCCACCTCCTCCTACAGACCGGTCACTGAGGCTCAGGGGCCAGGCTCAGAAATGTCAGCTCCGGCAGCCCTGCGGCACCCACCAGGGGGCTGCCTGACCCCATGAAACAGACAATGTGCTAACCCCGCACTGACCCCATCTGGCCCCTGAGGAAGGGAAGGGTGAGCAGTGCTCAGGACCGCTGTATGCCATCAGAGGAAATCAAGGTCCAGAGAGGGGCATGATTGACCCAAGGTCACACAGCAAACAGCTCAAGGCAGGAAAGAACCAGTGTTTACCTCCCAGTCTGGGGCTCTGCTGGGCAGTCTGGGAGCTGGATGACTACCTCTCTCCTCACAGGCTAGCAGGGCATCCACAGGGAAAAACTACCCGCTCCTGCCAACCTTTCTCCCGCCTCCCCCACCCCTACCCCAGCCTCCCTCTGCCCACCGCCAACTGCCCTGGGTCAGTTGGCTATGAGTGCTGCCCTGCTGCTCAGGCCCGACCTGCGCCCCAACCTGCGCGACAGTGTAGTCCTTCTCCTCCATCCGGTCTTTGATGATGCGAATCAGCGGCCCGATGTTGTAGAACTCCGCTTCTTCCAGGACCCCTGGCACAGACAAAGCCGTCCCTGGGTCACTCCCACTGCCCTGTGCCCTGTTCTTCCCTTGTCCTCGCCAAACCCACTCCAGTCACATGAGGGCAATGAGCATCTCTGAGTTCAGGAATAGAGCAAGAGGAAACATGTCCTTCCCTGGACCCCATGCTCCATGCTCTTTGTGGAAGGGGCCAAACACCACCACGCAGCGCCTCATCGCATCTCTGCTCCGCTGCACACGGTGACCCAGGGGTGCCTACCAGTCCTCTAACCCGGGGGCTACTCTGGGGCTAGCAGGAGGCAGCAGGCTCATTAGGACTGGACCCTGCAATGCCACAATGAGAAGGGCCCCGGTGGACCCCTACTACATGCTCCCCTTCGTGACTGAAGCGCATGCCAAGTGCCAGGCACTGTGCTGGGCCATTTCCATTCCTCACTGCAGTTAATTCTCAGAACCAGAAGTAAGTACTTTCATGGCCCCACAGGAGAAATGGGGAGAGAAACAGCTTGTTGGTAACCCACAGCCACTCAGCGGCAGAGCTGAGGTTCAAGCTCAAGTTCAGCTGACTTCAGAGCCCACTGCAGGGGCCTGATCTCTGTGCGCGTGCACATCTCCAACTCCCACGAGTGATGGTTTGCAAAACCCCTCCTGTGCACATCGCAAGCCCTGGGGACGCGGGGGAGCGGGCCCCATCGTCCCCATGCCGTTGAGGAAGCTGTGTCTAAGAGAAGAGGCGCGTCACCTCTCCGGTGCAGAGGGCGGGCCCCTGGCCTGTGGGCTCCTCAAAGCTCCTTCAGGGGAGGGACACTCCTGACCATTCTCATGAGTGGCGGCTGAGCTCCCTGGGCCCGGGGCCCACATAGCGCCCAGCACATAGCGGGCGGCCAGTGAGTGGACTGCAGGGGCCCCTGCAGGTACAGACGACTGATGCTGCCTCCCTGGTGCTCGGGGCCAGACGCTGCACTAAGTCCCCACTCTCGAGATTCTCGCAGCAGAACCGCTGCGTCGCCCCATTCCACAGATGTGGCCCAAAGGGGTGAAGGACTTTTCCATTGTCACACAGCCAGTGAGTCTCCTCCCGGATGCCCTGGCCCCCTGCACGCAGCCCTAGCCCGGCCTGGAGGTGCCAGGAGTGGCAAACACGGAGAAACCCCGAACCCGTAAACAAGTGCTGGCTGTGCCACAGCCAGAGCGCGTTCACTCCCCTGCCCCAGGGATCTGCTCCTGGGCCAGGCCACGCCCATGGTACCTGTGCTTCCGGAGGCGCTGCCTGGGAAGCTGTGGGCTCTGCTGAGCCAGTGCCTGTGGTGGGCTCTGATTTTGAAGTCTGGGCCCACTGGGGACCTACTGGGGAGCAGGGATGGGCTGTGCTAGACACCCCCAGGGTACAAGCACCATAACATTAGTTGCTGCCAAGTGTGTTCACCCCAGTGCAGATCACCATCTACACTTTGTAACCACATGGAGGCTCAGAAAGGAGAAGTGACAGGTCCGAGCTGGCCTGGCCAGGTCAGCTGACCAAAGCCACATACAGCCTTAGTACAGACTGTGGTCCCTGCCCCTGGCGGGGGCTCTGTCAGAGGCCATCCCCCCAGGCATGGTTTCCCTACCACCTGCCAAGCCCAGGAGTGGGCGTCTACGGGGCCTCGGCCACCCAGGCCTGGGAGGGTCCAAGCCCCTGCTGGGGAGCGGGCTCCCACCTTCCTCGCTCCACCCACATCCAGCACGGTGCTGCTGAGGTTGCCGAGTTTGGGAACAGTTACCCGGCCCACCCACCTGCTGACTCAAGTCCTCACCAGGCATCTGAGATACTGGATCACCCTGCCCAGCTCCACCGCTCACATCTGGCTTCCCGAGAGGCCAGCAGAAAGGGCGGCCCTGCCCACGACGCCTGGGCTCCCTCTAACCTCTGCCTGGGTGTTTCGGTCGCGTCCCCGACAGCATCCAGTGAAAGCTCAGCCTGGTCGGCTTGGCAGAGGCCCTTGGCTCAGCCTGGGCAGAAGCTTTGGGATTCAGCTCCGACGGGGATGGGAACAGGCAGGGAACACAGGAAAGCAGATGTCCCTTCTGGCCGGAAGAAATGGCTCTGGACTGCACAGAAAGCCTGGCAGGCTGCGGGTAGCATGAATGTGGGCCCGGCCAGCCCCCTGCACCAACTCACCCTCCTCGGCCATGTCCTTGTCCAGCACCAGCTTGCCATGCCGCAGGAAGTTCAGGATGGGCCCGAAGTAGGTGGGGTCGCGGTCGATGAGGTAGGCCCCGGTCTCGTCCTGCGGACGTGAGGGGTGGAGGCTGTGAGAGGGGGGTGAGGCTTCCCCCTGCCTGCCCCTCGCTTTGGGCCCATGAAAGCGTTGGAGGGAGGAAAGGAATGAGAGTGTAGAGTCTGTTCTTCCCTGGAATGAAGTAGCACGATGGATCACAAAGGTTCAAATCCTGCCCCTGCCTTGTCCTGACTGTGGCCTGGGATTTGGCATCTCTGAACCTCATGCCTCTCCCCCATAACTGGGGGTCACTGTGGGCACCCAGTGAAGGCTCAGTGATTGCCCCCTTAGAGGCTGTTCCCTGGCAGCCAGCCCCACTCTGTCTCCACCAGATCCCCAGTCATTCTGGGGTGTCTGCAGGTTGCCAAAGGAGCCGCTACCTCATTGGACACCCTCAGCCTGCAGGGAGGCAGGGCAGGCAGCAGCACAACTCCACAGAGAGAAAAGAGCATCAGGAGGTCCGGGGACTTGCCCAAGGTCACAGCATCAGCCGGCCAGGCAGTGGGGGAGGAGGGGCCATCGCGGTCATCTGCCGACCAGCCCCCCTGGTCACAGACAGGAGGCTGAGCCTGCAGCTGCAAATGTCAGGCCTCGGGTCCCGGAGGCAGTGTCCAGCAGGGCCCCCTGGCACCCCAGACCTGGGGCTGCCAGCCAGCTCGGCTCCTAGGTGAAGCCCACTTCAGAAGCCACCTTGGGCCTTCTCCACCCAGCTCCCTGCACACCTGGGCCACCCACACCCCAAACGGTAGGGGAGAAGCAGCCTCAGCCACTCCCGTTTGGGAAGGTCCCACTTGGGAGGGACGGAAGGCCCTACGCGCCTGATTGAACGCCCAGCCCCAGAGGGGAGAGAGCCGGATTAGATCTGCCGGCCTCCTAGAGGGAGTCCAGGGCAGCTCTCCTAAGCTTCAAATGGCCGTTGCCTGGCGTTGTCCCGTTGCCAAGGCAATAGGCACATTCCTCACTATCCGATCCACTTCCTCCTCCGCTCCTCCAGCCAGTTCTTCCCGCCTCCGACTCTTTGTAAATAAAACCTGCCTGTGTCCCTGGCCCGGCGGAAGTGCCAGGCCCGACGCCCCGATTCCAGCGAGCTGGAGACCCCAGCCCCGCACCACCCACCCGAGGGCCTCACCCGGTCCGACTGCAGCTCCTCCCCTTGGCACAGGCGGCTGAGGAAGGACTTCTGCTCCCGGCACAGCGTCTGCCGCGTGGTCAGGAACACCGTGCCCCCTACGTTGAGCCGCACCCACTTGCCCCAGCCTCCTGCACCGCGGCCTCCGGCCCCCGCCGGCGGCGCTGCCTCCCCGGCCTCCATCCTCAAGTCTGGCCCCGGATCCTGCATCCTCCCAGCTCCCTGGAGCTGGAGGCGGGCAGGTACTGCGTGCAGGGTATGCCGGGAGCTGTAGTCCACGCTTCCCAGAACTGGGCGCCCGGGGGGAGGGTCCCCGGATGCCAGCAACCTACCTCCCCCAGCCCCGCCCTACTTTGCCCTTCCTGGGAAGCCCTGAAACCGGGGTCTCTTGAAGAAGCCCATTGGTTAAATGACTGTGTTTGGGGAAGGTCAAGTTCAGGGTCACTGGGAAAATAGACCCCAAATCCTCCCATTTGTTCTCTGTATTATTGATCTCCCATTGCCCAGGCTGGATCATCCAACAGCTAATAAATATGAGAAGAAACGTTTCTTTCCCAGCATTCCATAGCATTTGCCTGTATTTGTTTTCTAATATTCTTTCATTCTGCCCTTCCTGTGGGAAGGGGGTGGAGGGAGGGAGCTGGTTCTTTACCCACATCAGTTCTTTGAAGGCAACACGGCTGGGCTTAAAGCTGACTGAGCTCCCACTGATTTCCAGGTGCTTCTTATATCCGTACTATTCACTGACGCTCTCAGCAGCCCCATACCCAGTGCACAGAGGAGGACTCATGTGAAGTGACCTCCCTGACTCAGTGGCAGGCTGGCAGCAACCCACGAGATTTCCAAGTGCATTGCCACCACCAAAGCCCCTCTCCTGCTTCCCTACCACGGACTGTCAGCGCTCCTTGGGAAAGATTGCTCGGGAGGAAAAGTGGATAGAGCACTGGGTCAAAGTCTGGAGAACTGGGCTTTCGTCCTGACTCTTGTAGGATGAGGTATGGGGCGAGGCCTCAGTTTTCCCATCTGTACTTTGGGAGGGGGTGGAGGGGTTGGTTGTGTGGGTCCCCTTCTGAGCCAGATAACTGGGATCGGAAGTGGGACTACCATCGTGGGTGCTGCAGGATGGGGGAAGAGGGACAGCTCCCCATGTCATCTGGGACCCGGGAGGTACAGGGGCTGGAGAGGAAGCTGTCCTCCTTCACTGCCTCTCCTTCTCCACCTTTCAGTCCTGGTCTTAGATGAAGGGGCAGGGGTCTGAGGCTCCCTCATCGATCCCGGTGTCACGCCCACAGGACCCACACGCTGGGCAGCCTGACCCTGTGCTGGGGGAAGGTTCTGTGTTACCATCCAAGGTCCCCTTTTTTTCTCCATAAAGCATTTCCTCTTGGCAGGGAGTAGGTCACAGCTGCTAGAATATTGCTCCCAAGAAATCACCAGCATGTTCTAAAGCAATTTCCTCCCTGAACCTGTTTTCTCTTTTGGAAATTGGGAATTATAATAGTCCTAGAGCAATTATAATAGTCCCATAATAGTTGTCAAGATTAAATTATATGTCTGTAAAGCACCTGGCATCGTCCCTGGTTTTAGCATATTGAATGAATGCATGAGTGGATGCGTGCATGAATGAATGAAGTGGGGTATGAACTGTTTTTTTTAATACAAGTATCTTTTTAATTAAGAGTTTATTATTTATTTCAATTTATTTTTAGAGACAGGGAAAGGGAGAAAGAGAGGGGGAGAAATATCGATGTGCGGGAGAAACATCATTCAGTTGCCTCTCGAACACCCCCAACTGGGGACCTGTCCCAACACCCAGGCATGTGCCCTGACAAGGAATCGAACCAGCAACCTTTCGGTTCACAAGGTGGCACTCAATCCACTGAGCCACTCCAGCCAGGGCACAAACTGGTCTTGAAAGACCGGCAGCACTCCTGATGCTCAGTGAGCCCTCGGCCGTTGTTCGCTAAAACAAAACTAGAGCAGGAAATACTTTTTTTTTCTTGTCAACTTAAGCGTTGTAGGCAGGGACTGACCTGGCCTACAGATCTGCAGCTTTGGTCGCACCAGGGCCCACTGCCGTCCTGCCACAGGAGCGGCCTGGGAGGTGTCTGTGGAGGCTGAGCCAGCACCTTTGATTTCCAAGTCGAGGAGGAAGCCTTTGTCATGGGTGGAAGTGGGGTTATTGCGGTGTTATGAGGAAAAGAATTTCCTGAGATCTGCAGGGGAGGACGGGGCTCTGTGGTACAGTGTGTCAGTGGTGTGAAGTTAAGTGGATTTCCCTCCAGACTTCCCAGTGTCCCACCTCCGTCAGTCTCCCCACAGAAGAACTCTAATCTTGTCTTCAGTAGGGCCAGGGTGAAGGCCACTGCCCAGAGCTTCTGCGCTGTGTTCCAGTCCAGTCCAGTCTGGTATCCAGCGAGCATAGTGTGTGCTGCCAGCTGCTGTCTGCTGCTGTGCTGCCGGTGTGGAATTCGGGCTGCCTCGTGGGGTCTGTGTGTGGGGTCCGAGCTGTCCTGGGCTACATGGCTCTGGAGAGAGGACTCGTGGGTGCAGGGTGCAAGCACCAGTCCTAAGGGTAAGGGAAGGGTGGGAAGAGAGAGAGTCTTGGTTCCTCTGGGATTATATTAGCTTGGGCTTGGGAGGGACCAGGTGCCTTTTCAAAAGAACCAATCAATTTCCTAAGCTTTCACAATCTTTGGATGCATTTATACCTCCCCACTAGAACAACAGGCCTCTGTGGTCCAGCACCTGCCACTGCGTCCCCAACAAGCCGGTACCAGAGAGGGACACAAGGAGCATTAATCCCCTTGGCGAAGCAATGCTGTGATCCCCTGGGGTGTGACGCTGTAGCTTCCTGGCCAGGAAGCAGGCCTGTGCTCCCCAGTTTATTGAACTCAATGTCTAAGTCCCTTTGTTCCCCCTTTCTAGCTAAATACCGATAGTAACACTGATCCAGTCTTCCCCCCTCCTTCCTCAGAGGACACTGCCCGTCCCTGGACCTGGTGTTCCCTCTGCAAGCACCTGAGAGGTTTCCACCCGAAGCAACTACCCCATCGATGAGGTGTAACGGGGTGCACCTCGGGGGCGGGGGCCCAAATAGGGATTTGTAATGGGGTCCAGAACTTGGTATCCAGGAAATATTAGGAAAAAATACATATATATAGGATGTCCTGACTCCCACAAGTCTGAACTGGGGGATGGGACGTGTGGAGCAGGGCCATTGAAGGTTGTTTTAAATAGCAACAGCTTTGTAGCTAATCTCTAGAATGGTCTATAGACCATTCTAGATCTATAACCTTTAACTGGTTTCATAGATATGTTAAAACTGCTGTGGCCACGCTTTGAGCCAGGGGGGGTGGGAGTGACTTCAACCCAGGATGTAACTGGGAGGCAGCTCCCCCTGGTTACAGCGCCTGCGTGAGAGCTTGGAGATGATTGGCTCCACGCCACAGGACCATGCCTGCCCGGACATGCTATGGAATGCCGTCAGCTGTGGCCAATTGTGGGCGGAGTTGGAAATGGTGCAGCATAGGGAGGTTGGCGCTGGGATTTAAACTCAGGCACGGCAGCCATGCGACATGTTTTGGGGACCACGAGGCTTGGGCAGAGGAGAACCGTGGACTTCTATTTCTTTTTCTGAGATACGGTACCCAGACTGGGCAGAGGGGGAAGGAAGGACTGTGCGTTCGTGGGTATTCTAAAGGACTTTGGGATCTCAATGAAGACATTAAGTCATTACTCTTAAGGTTGTATAAATAACTCTTTAAATAAATAATCCCTTTCCTTTACACCAATCTCTGGGATCAAGAGACATCTTCCCCTGATAGTGGGCAAGGTGAACCTAGTACGGGGTGGGGGATTCCCAGAGTACAAGGGTGGGGCCGTTTAGCAATAGTGTATCATTTATTTGCACCACCCCTCTCCCCGGTCTGCTCTGTAACAGAGGGACACAGCTAATGACCAGGTGGCAGGACCCAGGGCTCTTCACCACAGCTGACAGGTGCCACTATGTCCTCACCCGTGGCTGGGTTTCGTCTGGGGGAAGCCACGTTCGGGTGGCAGAGCTTGAGGGGGGCGGGTGTGCCCACCGCTGGAAAAGGACTCCTGACCCGCACTCCCAGCGGTCCTTCAGTGCCGACCCTGTGTGTTGAGTGACAGCTTTGTGGCAGTCATTGAAACAGAGAGATGAAGATGTCAGAGGTGGTCCCCAGCCTAGAGGGGGCTTCTGTCTGGGAAGGTGGGTGCGAGAGGCTTTGACAAAACTCCGGATCCCAGACAGGCCTGTTTGTAACCACAGGCTGGCATTCTTCATAGTTGTTTGCTGTCTTCCCCATTTAGGGGATAAAGCCAAACATTCCTTAGATGCCTTCTAGGGTGATGGTTACCCTGGAGGAGGGCCAAACTAACAAATGCCTGCTGGTTACACTGCCCCCTGCTGTCCCTTCTGGGAAGACCAGCTTAAGGTGCTTTTTTATTTTTTAAGACTATTTTTTTTATTTTTAGAGAGGGAGAAAGAGTGGGGGAGAAACATGGATTATTTGCCTCTCACATCCTCCCAGCCAGGGACGTGGCCTGCAACCCACCTGACCGGGAACCAAGCCCACTGAGCC